AGAAATGATGCTGCACTGCATTTCTCATGAAATTAAAACTATGCACTGCAGAGCTGGTCGTCTTCCCAGACTTCCATTTCACAGAAGAAGAAGTGCATTGACAGAGAAAGGAAGTGGCTTGTGGTGGTGGTAGTGTTTAAGGCAGTGTTTATCTTTCTCCTAACTTTTAGAGCTTTCCAAGTGGTCTTTGTATGTGGACTCTACTTGGTTCAAAACTAGGTCTTTTAACTTCTGTTCTGTAGTATTTTCTCATTCATAAACTCTAGAAGTGCTGTCTTGCGACGGAGTTTGATAGACTGGGCTCAGGTCCCTACCCCCAAAGCAGTGTCTCTGTAGGCCATAGAGTAACCTTCCCAAATATGACTTTCTTCATCTGAAAGGGGTGATCATCATCATTATTCCAGAAAATGTTGTTTCGATTAAATGAGATGATTCATAGGAAGTACTGAGCTTAGTGCCTGGCATATGACAAGTAGGTAACAAATGGAAATGACAATTGCTATCATTATTGCAGAAGAAGGAGTTTCAGAAAAGCATGACACAGTTACACAGACTATGTGGGGAGACAGAGTGTGATCAGTGAATGATAGGATATGGAAACAGTAGGGGATCAATAATGAGTGATCAAGAGGCTTTAGAGAGTGTTTCCTAGAAGTTACAAAATGGGATACTTCCATATTGCAGTGAGGCTCTCCATCCCTCTTTTCTTATATGGGACGGGAATCATATATCATAACTAGAAGGTAGAAAAACAGACCCAGAGAAGTGGAGTGACTTGCCTGTAGATTTCAGATGGGCTTTAATGGACCAATTACAATACGAACTACACACCAACTCTTTAAGAAATATGCATTTTTGCCAAAAGCAAGGTCAGGTGGTCCTTAGCCTCCTTATGGATATTTATGTGCAAAATAATATTTTTAAGATAACAATTTCATAATCTATAAGTAAATATTACTGAAAGATTGGGCTCTAGGCACCACTGGCTAGCTCAGTTGGTTGGGTGTGTGACTCCTGATCTTGATGTAGGTTCGAGCCCCACATTGGACATAGATATCACTTAAACATAAAATATTTAATAAATAAATAAATAATATAAAAGTTTGGGCTCCAGATCGCATATGTTACCATTAAGGTGACATTTCTGGGGATAAGTACTGAAAAATCATAGCACCTAAAAATGTTATATTTATATGTTTGTAATTGCCAGAAATGGAGAACTAAGGCTGATACATCACTTGAGACATTTGTGGAAGAATAATAGCTGTTAACAATTTTTTTTTAAAAGTCATGCAAAAGATACATAAAACAACCGCTCAAAAGTAGCCAAGCAATCTCACCCCATTTCAATAATGCAATTTAAGTTTATTAGCTGGACGCGTGAAATTAATCTGAGATGTAGTTTGAGGAGTTGACCAATAAGTACCAATGGAGGTTTGCTTAAAAAAAAATAATAATGAATGATGCTCAAAATTCTTTAAAGGTAACCGGAAGTGGTGCAATTTATCATGTTTCAGATGAAGTGGTAACATTTTAGTTCCCCCCAAAAAGAGTAAATAGGGAGTATGGGCTTGGTAGTGTGCCCCCCATCACTACTCTAAATGAGAAGATTTTGAGCTGGGAAGTGGTTTTGGACCTCAGAATATTCTGATGGTGTTGGCAAGCCTAGAAAAGGGAGATACCAGGGGCAGGTTCAGACGTCAAGGTCGAGATATTGGCAGCAGCAGGGATGTAGAGGAAATGACATGGAAGATTTTGGGGTAGGGAAAAGTGACAGGGTTTAGGGTCTGCATGGAGGTGGGAGGTGCAGGAGAGGCAGGAATCCAAGTGACAGCATAAGACTTCCCAGATGGTTTTAGGAGCAGCTAAAAGGCACAATTTGACATCAATGTCCCACTTCTAGACCATACACAAAGTAGGTCCTAACCTCCAGCAAAGCCTTCAGAGGCCACTAGTATGTCCTTCTGAAGGAATTCTATTCTCCTGAAATGACTGAGCAAAGAGCCCTCATTTGGCATTAATTTTAACTTCAACTTGAAGAAAATGTAGTTTTATCACAAGGTTTCTTCAGTGGAAAAACATAGTATTTTTAATAGCAGTCATACTGTGCCCCGTTCTCTGGCTTTTTACCGAGGAAGTGACTTGGCTTCTAATGTCTATCTGAAAACTTGGGGTAACAACCCCTGTTTCAGAGAGCTGCTGGCAGGCTTCCATGAGATAAGGATGCATAAGCCATGCACACACAGTTGGAAGAAGGAAGCTTATCAGGGTCTTCCTACTAATCAGAGTGTTCTGTGTGATGCTAGTGGGTGAGAAAGAGGTGTGGGTGGAAGTTATGGGGAGACAGATTTTGCCCCAGGGTAAGACAAACCTTCTGGGATCCCGAATTTTCAGAAATTGGAATAGCCACGTGGAGCATGGAGTGAGAGCAAGCTGCAGGCACAGAGGGTCTTCTAGCCAAATGACATGGTAAGATGGAGACTTTCCACTAAGCCGTGGCGCACTCAATAGGTGGTATCGGTTTGGCTAACTGAGGTTACATGTAGCTATCTGTCACTCCATCCCTTCTACTTAAGAGGGCATAGCTTAACTCCAGTGAACGAGAATATTCATTGAAGCATCCGTTGTAATGGGTTAATATTTATTGACCATCATAGGCTGGGCACGTGTGTGCTTTCTCTGTGTTCTCACATTCAGTCTGTAGGAAACTGCTGTGAGGTCAGGTTGATGACTAATTCGAAATGGGCTTAGGGCAGTGAAACACCTGCCTGTGACTTCTCAGCTTTGGCAGCGAAGAAGCCAGGTAGAAACACATGTTGGCTTGCCTCAGACTTGTGTTTATCGAGAAACAGGAGGAGGATGAAGGAAGGAAGGAGGGCGGTATGGGGGGAGGAGGGAAACGTTCACAAATCTTAGCAGAGCACCTAAATATTATCAGCCATAAATCATTTGTGACACACAGTACAAATGAAAAACACAATGGAGAGAAGTACTTTTCACACCCTCCTGCGATCCACAGACGTGCTCCATCTGCTTCAGACTGTAGCCATATGCCCCCAGTGGCCTGCGACGGAGCCTGAAGAAAACTTCTTATTTTATTTCATAACACGGCCATATTTGTTTAATGCAAAACATTTAGAGGAAAATGAATATACAGTAGAATCCACGTCGTCTTTATCTTGTGCCTCTGTGTATCCACCGGGAAAACCACTCTCTCCACTGCCAGGGTATTTCAGTTTTAGAAGAACCACCAGAAAAAGTATCCATGTGCTAGTCGAGAGGTGGATTAAAATATCTAATAAACGTTTTTAAGCAGAAGAAAGAAACCCTATATCCACAAATTAGCACCCCAGAAGTTTACAAGCCCACAGTTATTCATACATTCATACATATAATATCTCGAGATTTGTATGCATTTTACGTACTGAACTTTCATTGACAGAACACTGATGGAATCCGCAGGGACTTCTGGTCTACCCCCCAAAATTGCTTTCTGCTCCAGCACTGCCAAAACAAACTCTCTTTGGGGTAACAGGTCCGGCATTCTCCGGAAGGTTATATTCCTCACCGGTGTCCTTCAGCGTTCATAAACTCGTACTCGTCGCTGTGCTGAGAGTCAGGAGACATTGGCTGCCCATTGTCTCTGCACCTGTTACCTTCTTGGCCTTATCCAAACAGCCCCAGCCCTAACAGCAACTGAAACAACAGATACCCGGGTAGGAAAACTTGAGATTTTTTGACATCATCCTTTTGTGTATGAAATCCCACCCTCCCCCCAACTCTGGAATCTAGTAGGAATTCTCTTCATTATCATTTTGTGGGGTTTTTCCCCCCATGGTACTTTTTTATTATTAAAAAGTAAATCATTAATGCAGAGGGAGATTAAAAAGGGGAATAACATCACCCTTTGAAAACGGTCAAAAAGAAAACGGGCATTGTGATTTCGTGATGTGGAACTGACATAAATATATCTCTACCTTGGAGGGTGATTGTCAGCAGCCAGGGTTGATGGCCGCAGGGATTCAAGCAGGGAGCTGAGAGGAGCTGAGGAAGGGGAGGGAGGAAAACTGGAGGAAGGTTGAGCAGGAGGAAGTGGGAGCAGGCATTGCACTGGGAGGTCTTGTGAGCAGAGGGGAGATGCAGACTTGGCAAATTGAGGGTCTGGCAACCACCAGCGCCTGGAATTGTAATTTCAGGACAGAATCCCTCTTTGCAAGGGACGAGATTATTAAAACAGGCCTAAACTAGGGATTAGGGAGGCAGAATGCGGGCTGTTATTCAGTAGTGTATGATTGTAAGCTGATTAACCTCTCTATGCCTCAGATTTATCATCTGTAAAATAAACATGAAAACATGAGGGCACATGTAGGGTTGCTTTGATTCTCGAATGAGAAAATACATGGGACGTGTGTCGCCCCAAGCCTGACATTCAGTTAATAGCTGCTGCAGTTGTTACTATTTTAGTCAAGAGTGAGAGACAGAGAAGAGCAGGGGTGGGGGACAGTTCCTGGATGTGCAGTATAAGGAAGGGGGCTGCTCACATGGAATGGGGTTTCTGTTCATTGCGTGCAAAGCAGGGAAAAGATCAGACCGATGCCCACAGAATCTGGCATGGTACTTTCCCAGCTCTGTCTGCTTATCCCATTTTATTTTCCTGGTTGACATTCTCCCAGACACCTTCATTACGGGCCGCATACCATCTGGTTCTTACCCACCAGGGTTATTATAAAGGTTAAATTAAAGATAAAATACCTGGTAATATTCACTGCTGTCATTTGATGGTAGTCATTATTGCTGTACATTTTGGTGTGGTCCGTCATGCATAGGAGAGTGCCTTAACCGCAGAAGACAGTTCGTATTATTGGATAACTTAATGTGCATGTGATTTCAAACGCAAGCAAGACTGATAGAATGTACTCCAGGGGATCAGTTCTGTCTACCCCCGGGCATTGTGTCCGTATAGCTAATCGTCTTTGTGAATACCCTTCTCTGTTTTCCAGGGATCTCAGTCTTGGCAATGTGTACCAGTACTGGGTCATCACTATTTCCGGAAGTGAAGAGAGTGAGCCATCGCCAGCTGCCATCTACATCCATGGAAGTGGATACTGTGGTGATGGCATTATCCAGAAGTAAGTAGGTGTGATTAAGGGAGGGGGAGGGAGTGATGCTCGTGAGGTCAAGAGATGGCCAGGAGAGCTTATGGGAGGCTCTTCAGTGTGGGAGCTGTGAGCTACCAGCAATCGCTAGCAATCTGTCGATTTGTCTGCAAGTAGTTGCTGGCCTCAGAGGAAACGCAGTGGTTCTTTTTCAAACATGTATATTTCTCAAGTATGTAATACAATACATGATTCTGACAGAGCGACCATTGTGCACTTACTACGGGTATGCTCTTTCTCTTCATTGTTTTGTGGGTACTGCAAGGATTCTGTTTGTCTTTTTCACTCCAGCCAATGTTCCGTTAATAGGACCCAGGGCATCTGGGTCAAAACACTTCTACGTTCTTTGCCGGTTAACCATTTCAAGTTGTTAAAACTGTGTATTTCTTTGGTATTTCTGTTGTATTGTCTTATATGAACAATTTACAAAATGGGTTATAAGCTCGTAAAGATAACAAAATACTCTAACTCACGGTAATGTCGAAGCCATAAATAGCAAACAATACCCCAGAGTGAATACTGAATGTGAACATAAATAAGTACAGGGAGGCAAATGAACCAGAAAGTGAAAGACTCCACACGAGCAGCCGAAAAGGGAAAGTGTGAATAGAGAATAGGAAGCTGTGTGTTTGCACCGTGGATGTTACTGGGACATCAGTCCATTTATCCCCTTGTCCACAGGGCAAGATATTGCACAACTATGAAATGGGGCAAGAAGCCATCCAGAGTCTTGCATTGTTTTTAAAAAAAAATTTTTTTTTAAAACTAAACCTTTGAGTTTTTTCCTCCCAAATTAGCACAAAAATGTTGTCTGGCACAAAACAGAATAGTTTTGTCCCTGGAGGTGAAAACAAGACCAGAAACTGTTTGCAGTTAAGTTTCTTATTGCTAAAATTGTGTTCCTTATTGCTAACGTGGTTGCAAGTTACACTATTGCTTAGAGACTTTTAAAACTATGGGCCAATTTAATGATGAATGTCACACGTGGAGAGGGTAAACCAGCTATTGGCGAAATCCCTTCATTAAATGGCGCTGTTGGGTGTTGTATAATATCTGGGCCACGTGGAATTGCAGGGACTGTTTCAGGAGGGGGAGGGGTGCTGTAAAGAGAATCCGTGTCACAGTTGGATGAAACCGCTGATGTGTAGACCGTGAATCATAGGAGTGGTACATACTTGAAAGAGAAGTGGTAGATGACTCTTTCTGGTGCTGGATGGGAAGAGCAATTTCATTTGGTAACATACTGATTTTGTGGGATGGGATATAAACTGGAAACCTGCTTTGGGATGAAAGGACTGGCCAGGAGTACAGCAAGGTTAACGCCGGTTGTGCAAGTAAAGCGTTTGCACGTGAATACCCGTCCACGCAGACATCCAGAAGCCCTTTGCTTTCTGGTCCTGACTTCACATGGAAGGACAGATCAAATGTTACATATATATATGCCCAGGAGATGCCCAGCATGGTACATCTTTTGAACATGGCTGTGTGGAAAGGTGGTATGTACAAGTTCCTGCTGAGTGTGGAATTATGGAGCAAACCACCTGATGGCCAAGAATCTGACTCGCCAAGCATAGGAGATAAAGCTCCTCCTTTGTCGGATAAGGAAACTCATGGTGTGCTGTTGTGTGCAGTTAAAATCATGTCCAGATGCAGCAACGAAACAGGACGATACAGTTTCTGGTGCTTAAGATAACACGACTAGGGAAAGGGGAAACACTCACCATTCTCTCCCACATTAAGACATCACCCTCTGGCTCTGGACACAGCTGTTGTCTGATGGAATACTAGCAGCGGAGCAAGGCAGTCTCCAGGGAGAGTGCCCCATCATTTGTGGGCCCAAGATTGAGCTGCATGTCCAGAATATCCAGGAAACACTTGCGGTCATTGCTGACAACCCATAATTGTGATTTGGGATTTTCTAATTTAGCACAAAGAATACAAAAAAAAAAAAAAAAGAAAGAAAGAAAGAAAGAAAGAAACTCACCAGATGTGGAACCTGACCTACAACTCAGTCTGTCCATTTTGGAGCCAGATATAGAGACGTATTGGTAGAAAGCTGCAAACAATATCATTCTTGCTGATCTAGAACTATTCTTATTTTTTTATTTTATTAATATAAGTAGTGTTTTCAACAAGGTTTTTAATTTTTTTTTTAAGATTTTATTTATTTGACAGACAGAGATCACAAGTAGGCAGAGAGGCAGGCGGGGTGGGGCCCCGGGGGGACAGGCTCCCAGCTGAGCAGAGAGCCCGATGCGGGGCTTGATCCCAGGACCCTGAGATCATGACCTGAGAGGAAGGCAGAGGCTTAACCCACTGAGCCAGCCAGGCATCCCTCAATAAGGCTTTTTTAGTATTTTTACCTAGAGTTGGTATCCTACACAGAAATCACTTAGGTTTCCAAATAGTTGTTGACAATGCTTTGTAGAAAACCAAATGCAGCATATGGCTCAGCAAAAACAAATAAACAAAAACTTTGAGGGAAAAGACGAATGTCATCTTAGCTAATTGGATTCTTCACAGGATGATATGTGCTGATTCGCTCTATGTATTTAAGGGAGTTTACAAAGATACTCAGGATCAAAACTTAATGAGTCCCCAGTGGAGAAAAGCTTTGGCTACATATAATGATAATATTCATAAATATTTGTTGAGCCTTCACTGTGTGTTAGCATTGGGCTACACTATTATCTCCTTGGTCCTTCCGACAATTTTATGATATCAGTTCTATTACTGTACTTTACAGAAGAGACAACTGATGTACAAAGGCTGACATGGCTTTCTCGAGCTCACTCACCCAACAAAGCAGAACCAAGATGCGAATCCGGGGTCCCTGTTCTCATTTGGATTCCCCATTGCCTCGCTGTGTCACCAGCAGCCCTGCAAGACTGACAAGTGAAGGAGCAGCTCCATGCTTTCTGCCATATTCCAGGCACTGTGCCCAGCATTGCGGTGCTAGGATGACAAAGACTGTCATTTCCTTTGGCATCTGAAAACTCAGTATGGGGAGCTGTCGGGTAAACATTTGAAGGTGGTCCGTTTGACAAGTGCTGGGATGGATGGAGCCCAGTGTCTTTGGATGCAGAGAAAATGGCCACCCACTCCAGCTTGGGAGGTCAAAGAAGGTTTCTCAGGAGTTCTCTGTGTAATGATAGATCTGTCATACCTAGAAGATATTTGTGGTGACACTAATGTTTTGCTTAAACCAATATGACATACTGTTTGGCAGGTTAGATGTGTTCTTTGTGGCTTTGGGAAACCAGCCCAGGTTTAAAAAAAAAAAAAAAAATCTCCCTAGATAACCCATGAGATAGCTAAGTAACACAAGGCTATCACCAGTTTCCAACACTGGAGGTTCACTGGCAGAGATTGGAAATATGGGCTCAGCTTAGAATAATGGACTTCTCTTCTCCTCGGATCATGCATTTGCAGACAGGAGAGTTCAAAAATCCCTGCACTGGCCCCACCATTGTAAGGATTGATGGCAAGGCCCCCTCCTGCTACTCTGACATCTCTTTAAAGCAACCAACATTGCCTAGTGTTAATTGCCCGAGTGAAAGGAAAAGTCTTAGGCCTCCTCCATGCTTCCACGGGTCCCAGCTGGGCCCTGGGGAGGGAGGGACAGCTGCCGCACACTCTGCAGAGACCTCCCAGGACTGAGTGGGAACGGGAACCCTGACTCCCTGAGCATCGTCTATCTGTCACGAACCGTTCCTGTCACGTCAATGTCCATTCCGTTCTTGTGCCGGCTCTAAGGAGCGGGTAGAGTTATCACCATTTGAACCTGTGGGAACGCGGACACTTGGCTTCTGGAATAGCGTGGTCCGGGGGATTTTTCTGCTGTGATGGAAACCTATTCTGTGCTCTTCTGTTCAGTAGCCACTCGCTACTGATCGCGTACAACGATCAAGGGCTTACGTTGTGGCGACTGCGACTGAAGAATGGAATTTTACATTATTTTTAGTCTTTATTGATTTAAATGGTCCAGTTGAGATTAGGAGACATGTCTGAGATCATGCGGCTGGTTTGAAATAAGGGGCTCTAAACCCAAGTTTTCTGTTTCTCAAAGGATGGGCATTTTCCAGGTCGTGATCATCTATTCGGTCTTTTCAGCACTTTCTCCTCCTCCTCATCTCCTCGGTCCAGCACTGCTCAGTTTCTGTCCGTCCCAACCTCTGCTGAACCGCCCTAAGCTGATAGGAATAATTCTTATCAAAACAAAACAAACAAACAAGAGGAGACACTTTAATTTCCTAATAGCGTACTTCCCATGGGCCTTAGAGTTGCTCACACTATGAAATGACACTCCTGATGGAGAAAGCAATACTTTCTCGTGAAAGGAAGACCAGACCCAAGCATGTGACTGGGGAAAAAAAGAAATCTTTATTCTTAAATTCACAGTTGGGAGCAGGACGGAGATGGGGAGCAGGGAGGAGGCTAAGGTAGGGCATAGTAAAGAACAGAATTTATGTTTCAGAAGCTCAGAAATTTCCTTCACGTCCACCAATTTAAAACGGCGGTGAGATCTCCCAGACACGCCGGGGGGCGGGGTGGGGGCAAGGTTGGTTCCTTCATCCCTTCATCCATGCCTTTCTCCCATCTGACTTAACCGGCAAGATCTCCAGCAACAGGTTTGAGGCATGAACTCTGCTTTGTTGTGGCAAGCACAGAATAAGGCAGAGGTTGTAGGATCTTACACATGTATATCTTTATACGTCTCGTGGAAGAAGAAGAAATGGACACTGGGGCGTGAGAGACTTGCCTGAGGCCTCTTGGAAAGTTCCTGGCCTAGAGAGGGACTCTCCCATGGTCCGCCATGGTTCTGCAGTTGCTCTCTCTCTGTCTCTCTGACACATCTCTCTTCTGTCCCTTCTGCAGAAGCCAAGGTGAGGAATGTGATGACATGAACAAGCTCAGCGGTGACGGCTGCTCCCTCTTCTGCCGACAGGAAGACTCCTTCAATTGCATTGGTAAGTCTTTGTCATTTCTTGGGGCTCAGCTGGAGAAGGGGACCGTGCGGGATGGTCAAGTCAATACCAGCAGTCCTGAGGACTGATGATGGTTTACTCCTGAGTCTTAAAAACACTGACAGATAGCCTCCTGTGAGCCAGACCCTGTGGAGGGCACCGGGGCATAGAGCAATAAGAAGCAAAGGAAAACCAGCAAATGCTCCTGCCCTCACAGAGCTTAGAGTCCCTCCCGTGTGTGACAGCAGTGGCTGCTGATAACTTTTAAGCTAGTTTCGCCTTGCGTACACCATCGCTCTTTTTCAGGCCAGCTCTCCAGGAGGGTGATTAGTATAGAATTTTAAAGGCTAGTATTCTTGCATTAGAGATAAGAAAACATCACAAGCCAGAGAGATGATGAAAGTGATCAGAAACTCTTGGGTTAGGAGTGATTGGAGACAGAACCAGGGCTTGAATCTGATTCTGTCTGATTCTTAAGCACGTGCCCAGCTCTTTCTGCTGTACGACCTCCAGCCAAGGTCCCAGAACCCCGGTAGTCCCCTTCGCACACTCAGAACCTCTGGCCGCGTCTCCGACGGGAGAGTGGAGGAAGAGCAGACCAGCCTGTGTTTAGAAAGCAAACGTCCTTTCCCACCTTTACTGAGTCAGATGGGAAATTTGTTTTCCTCTGGCTTCTCGCTGGTCTTGTTGTTATAGTCCCACTTGGGAGGCCCTGACCAGCCCGGGGCTGGTAAACAGACAGAGGTTGGGGGGCAGGGATGGAATTTTGAGCTGGCTCAGATGAGATCATACTTCCTTTAAGATGCAAATCGATACCTGAAGATCAAAGGTCCTCTGGCTAATCCCCTGGGCTAGAGGTGAAAAATAATCACAATCATTTGCAAGTACAAAAGACAGAGGTGCTCTATCGGAGGAGGGAAGGGGCAGCTACTGAGGGCATGAAAACACTGGTGGGAAGATTTCACACTGAAAGGCAATTTTCTAGGAAGACGAAAGGAAAGGAAATATCATCGGGTCCTCACATTCACAGTGCATTACAGGGAACGCATTTAGACCTTCCTTCTCCTGGGGGACTGTGAGCACTGTGAGCTCTTCACCACGCACCCTTAGTCCGTCCTCAGCACACACGGGTCGAGCATCTCCTGTCTCCTTGGCACTAAGTGTGGGCTCAGCAACACAATAAGAGGTGTCCCACAGCTAACCGTGAATGGAAGAAAGGAAGATGCGGAGGAAGGAAAGACAAGAATTTCCAGGCAGGACCTCGGGTTTTTAAACGACAGAAGGCTATTTTCTTGGCTCTGCTGATTTGAGCACGGTCCACGGTAAAAAAAACTTGACGTTCACCTAGTGGTATGGCAGAAGGAGTCTGGGCCAAAAGTTAGAAAAACCAGGCTCTGGTCCTCACTGTGCTGAGAAGTTGCCGTGTAACCCTGGCCAAGCTGCTTCCCTAGTCTGGGCCTCAGTTTACCTGGTGGAAACGTCAAAGGATTGGGTTAGGTGATCTCTAACGGCCTTACCTGTACTCGACTTGCGTTCTTTCCAAGGTGTGTAGCTGTTTGCCATTCCCACGAGCTACTTGCCTTTGTCTCCCTCCTCGTGACACCCAGCAGCACTCCCAGATCCTGCTGGAAAATATCTACCTATTTTGCTCGCACTAAGGTGGCATGTAACTGAGGTGCTTCTGGAAGGAAGGGAGGGTGTGGTGGTGAAGGTAGGATAGGGGACCTTCAAAGAGATGCTCGGGTGGCCTGACGCCCACATTCTGGGGTGCCTTGGAGCTGTGCAGCAATTCACGAAAACAGGGGTCCCTCCTCCAGGGGGAAGTTCATCATGCACGGTGGGGTCTGCAAACTACAGTCCATGGGCCAAACTGGCCCACTGCCTCTACTGGAAAGTAAAGTCTTACTGGAACACAGCATGCTCGTTACTCTACCTATTGTCTGTGGCTACTTTCCTGCTACAAGTTACTAAGCAGGTACAGCAGAGGCACTATGACCCAAAGAGCCTAAAATATTTACTAATCTGGCCTCCTGCAGATCTTTGCTGGCCTCCTGGCTCATGGATTGGAAGTCTTTCATACTCTTGGTTTTCTGAGTCTGGTGCAGAGAGGAGGTGACAGTTACAACATGACTCGCCATTTCTAAAAGAAAGAACTGACTTTTAAGCAGACAGCTGTGGGGCCTGGGAGACTCTTAGATATAGCACTGGGCAGCGAGTCCAGTCTTAGCGGGCCTAAATTCCCAACTCAGCTTTGGCCAGAATGACTGTTCGGGACTAGATCAGTGATTTGTTAACTGTGTTAACCGAGATGCTTAAGCGGAAAGAGGCGAAGGCAAGGGAGGTGTCACAAAGGTGAGATCTGGGCCCTCCTAGGTCTCCTCTACACACTGTTGTTCTGTACTCGATGCTAAGTGTTCTACTGGCAATGACAATGTTTATCAAACCCCCATGATGCACTGAGCACATTTATAAATTCTTATTTTCATAACAGTCTTTTATGGTCCTGCTTTTATGCAAGAGGCAGCTGAAGCCTGAGGGGTGAACCAAGGATACACAGTTAAATAGTAGAACCAGGACACAAACCCAGAGTCAGACTTCAGACGGTGGTGAGCTACCTACAAAAAAAAAAGGTGACTCCTGGTCTTGTAGGGCTTTGAGGCGAATAAGGGAGACTGTGCCTTAGAACAGTCTGTCTAGTGAATTAATGGACCGGGATACAGAATGGCCAGTGGTGTGGATGGCGTCCAGGGAGGACTCCGTATTACCTGGTATGTGGAATATGGTTTGTGTTAGAGAAGCGACCTCAGCTACACCCCCACCCTCACCAGTTAGAATTTCATTATAGAGACTCAGTGAGACACAGGACATTCCAAGAATTAAGGAGTCTACCCGGAGATCCCAACTCCCGGGAACTACATTCCAAGGACAAACTCCATGCCTTTGAGTCTAGAAAACCATCGTCCCTTAAGAACAGCTGAAGAATAGACAGAGAGTCTTTTGGCTCCCACCACAGGCAGCTTCAGTGAGTCAGAGAAATGGCACTGGCGTGTGGGAGGCTTTGCTGAGGTGGACTGGTTTCATCATTATGTTTGTCAAGACAAGCGGCTGAGGGAACCGGCTCGAGTGAGGCTGTCTCGGGCTCACGCTATGGCTTAGACGTGCGACCTTAGCTGAACGTCGGTGTTCTCATCCAAAAACAATGGTGGAAGTCCTGGGACTCAACTGTGGAAGATACTTATCAATAATTTTGGAAACTTACTATCTGAATCTCCTTCCTAGATTTAGGAAATAACGCTCCTTGATGTAATAATAATGGGGCAGAGCCCAAGCCTCTACCGAAGTTGAAAATCCAGAAGTCTCCTTCCCCGACTCCCCTTTACAGCTTGAGTGTAAAGAGCCACACTTTCCCCCAGTCATTCTGATAAGGATGGCTATCATCCGTGTGTTCCTAAAGTACCAGTGACAGCATGTGGCCAGAGTGCGAAAGTGACCATGTTCTAATATCTTCGCAAGACCAGTCTTGGGACCTGATCTTGAGCTTAGACTTGGGCTTCAGAGTGTGCAAGCCTGGCTCTCTGGCCCTCCCAGAGAGTGTTCTGTAACCTGTCAATATTCTCTGAATAGCTTTTGTTTGCTCATTTTGCTTCAGTTGGCCAAAGTTGGTTTCTGTTGATTGTCACTTAGAATCCTGACAGAACATTATTGTCATAAGATGCTATAAGGTTTAGCCCCAATCTTAGCAAGTCGGATGTGCTTGATGTACGTGAACTGTTACTTACCCCATGCCTGTGGAGGTGTGGGGAACTGTTACTTACCCCATGCCTGCGGAGGTGTGGGGAACTGTTACTTACCCCATGCCTGCGGAGGTGTGGGGAACTGTTACTTACCCCATGCCTG